AAAAAATAAATATTAAAAATTCTCTCTCTCTCTCTCTCTCTCTCTCTCTCTCTCTCTCTCTCTCCTCTCTCACTCTCTCTTTAAAAAAATAAAATAAAAAAATAAATGGAGCATAACTTCTCATTCATCTGGCTTTACATGATGTAGAATTACACAGGTCCTGTAATCATATGTACACACAGGGTAATAACCTCTGATTCATTCTAATATCATTCCTCCCCCCATACCCTCCCTTCCCTTCACTCCCTGCCTTCTAGTTCAAAATACCAATAACCTCCCCATCCCCTATTTATTGTGAATTAGCATCTGCATGTCAGAGAAAACATTCGGCCTTTGTTTTTTTGAGGATTGGCTTATTTTACTTAGTGTAATATTCCCCAGTTTCATCCATTTACCAACAAATGCTATAATTTCATGAAGGATGAGTAACATTTCATTGTGTATATATATAATTTCTTTATCCATTCATCTGTTGAAGGGCACCTAGGTTGGTTTCATAGTTCAGCTACTGTGAATTAAGCTGCTATAAATATTCATGTGGCTGTGTCACTGTAGTATGCTGGTTTTAAGTCCTTTTGACCAGATCATTTTTTAATAAACTTTTTTTCTTTTTGCAGTACTGGGGATTGAACTCCTGGGTGCTCTACCATTGAGTTACATTCCCAGTCCTTTGTAGTTTTTGAGACAAGTTCTCACTAAATTGCTGAGGTTGGCCTCAGCCTCTGATGTTGCTGAAATTACAAGCATGTACCCCCATGCTTTGCTTGTTTTTATTTTTGAGATAGGGTGTCACCAAGTTGCCCAGGCTGACCTCAAACTTGTTATTCTCTTGCCTTAGCCAAATGTGTTCCTGTGTTACTAGGCTGCACACAGCTTGCCATGTGTATTTTTTAGTGAGGGTGGGGGGAGAGTGGTTACTGGGGATTGAACTCGGGCAATTCATGTTCAAATCCAGCCCTATTTTGTATTTCATTTAGAGACAGGGTCTCACTGAGTTGTTTAGTGCCTCACTTTTGCTGAGGCTGGCTTTGAACTTGAGATGCTCCTGCCTTAGCCTCCCCAAGCCGCTGGGATTACAGGTGTGTGCCATTGCACCTGGCTTGCCATGTTTTTGTAAGTCAAATTTTACTGGAACTCAATCTTATTTATTTTGGTGCAGGGGATTGAACCTAGTGCCTTGCACATGCTTGGCAAAGTGCTCTACCACTGAGCTACATCCCCTTTTTGTTATTCTGAGACTTTTACCTAAATGGCCCAGGCTGGCCTTGAACTTGCAGTCTGCCAGCCTCAGCCGCCTAAGTAGATGTGATTACAGACATGTGCCACCATATCCAGCAAAACTATTTAATTTTTGACGAATTTTTTCATGTTCTTTTTTAAACAAAATGAGGTAATATAGCTTTTCAAATTATTTTGAACAAAAAAGCTGGATTCACTCCCTGGAAGAACTAACATCCTTCTCCACAGCTCCAGGTAAATTAAATAGCTTTTTGAACTTCTCCAGTGGGTTTTCCTTGCTTTACTCAGAAGTTATTAATAGTTAAAACAATGTACCTGGGGGACTCCATGGTCCAAATATCTTGACTCATTAGATAGAACTAACTTTCTGGCAAGTTAGTTAACCTTTTTGTGCCTCAGTTTCCTTTTATGCAGTAATTTTGCACAGAGCATGGCATATATGTTCTTCATAAATACCAGTAACTATCATTATTTCTAGAGCATAAACTTTTAGAGGGCATGATTTCTAACTTACCTATTTTTTTTTCTTATCATCTGGACAGTTTATCACTCCACAGAGATAATGCTATCTTCCTAATATATAAATCTGATCCTGTCATTTCCTGTTAAAGCTAGTGTCCCAGTGTCTAAAGTAAAGTCAAAACTTACTATACAACCTAATCACATAGCTTGTACCCCTCATGGACTCAAGCAGCACTTCACCAAGAATTCTTTCACTTTTCAGTGTCTTTGTTTCAATTGTTCTCGCTTGTCCTCTCTGATCTCATTTTTACTCTTTTTTTCTTCTTTTTTTTTGGTACTAGGGATTGATATATTTTAAAGATTTATTATTATTATCATTTTATCATTATTTTGGTACCGGGGATTAAACTCAGGGGCCCTCGACCACTGAGCCACATCCCCAGCTCTACTTTGTATTTTGTTTAGAGACAGGGTCTCACTGAGTTGCTTGGTGCCTCGCTATTGCTGAGGCTGGCTTTGAACTCGCGATCCTCCAACTTCAGCCTCCCCAGCCGCCGAATTACGGACGTGCACTACCGTGCCTGGCATTCATTTTACTCATTTTAAAAAGGTCTGAAAAACTCCTCACACCTTCTCACAAGCAATTAGTGACTTTCTCCAGGTCATATAGTATTATGTTCACAACTTTATTGTGTCCAAACTATGTTAAGTAATATAAAACCTTTCTGCCTCTAATAATGGCCTTTATGTACAGTTATCTAACATCTACTGGGTAACAGGTCTTAGTCCCGGCGGCGAGGACACAACTGGACACAAGAAAAATACTGGGTCGTGGTTAGTGTGATTCGTGTTCAAATCCATACAGGTGGGTTGTGTAAAGTACTTTGAAGAGCTGGTAAAGCGCGAGACCCTGGGTTTGAATCCCACCACGGCAAAAAGATGAAAAAGAAAAAAGTACTTTGAAGACCTGAGGCGGAGTGCCTCTCACACGGGTAGGGGAAGATCGCGGTAGCTGACCAGTGGCGGGAGCGTGAAACCAGTCAGCAAGGTCAAGGACGCCCCGCAGGCGGAAGCCAGACAAGCGTCCGGAGAGTCAAACAATTCTCTGCGCGGGGTCTGCGGCGCGAAGGCAGTCCAGAAAGCTTTTCGCTCGGTCCGTCTTAAGGACATTCCTGGCAGCGGAGCTGGCTATAACGCAGAACCTCATTGCGACAGTAGACGTACTCAGCAAGCCCCTGGAGAACTGGCTCTAGGATACCAAGCAATTGGGCTTCCCAGCGGTCCTAGGCGAGGGCAGAAAACGAAGGCGGAGCGTGCTTCCGCAGTTGCAGCGCGGGTACTACGTGTGCGCATGCGCGCGCTCGCTGCGGTTGCGGCGCCAGTGCCTGGGGGCGGAGCTTCCGCACCGGAAGGGGGCGGAGCGGCAGTCGAGCTCGCGGGTGCGGACGGGAAACCGCGAGGGCCGGGGCGGGTGGCGGGGCGACGGACGGCGACGATGGCCGCAGCAGCTGGCAGCGGGCCGGGGGCGACGGCGGGCGCAGGGGGCACAGGGGGTGCTGCGGCGGCTGCGGGCCTAGCCGTCTATCGGCGGAAGGACGGGGGCCCAGCCGGCAAGTTCTGGGAGAGTCCGGAGACGGTATCTCAGCTGGACTCAGTGCGCGTCTGGCTGGGCAAGCACTACAAGAAGGTGGGTGCGCGCGCCAGCCGGGGCCGCTGGGGCTGGGGCGGCGCGGCTCGGGCGTCCTCGGAGCTGCGCGGGACAACAAAGGCCGCGCCGCCCGCCACGCCCCCGCCGCCTCGCGCGGCCTGCTCCCGGCCTGCCGGGGGCAGGCGCTCCGGAGGGCGCGAACCTTCTCTTTTGTTAGCTCCTGGAGTGTGCCGAACGGGGTTCGTTAGAGACCGAGCTAGTGTGGTTGAAGCAGCTCAAGTTTTTCTTAGCGACTGGGCTTCCCAGCGTGAGGTGAGGAAGGATTTGCTAAGGGACTGTGGACGAGTGACCTCGGAAGTTAATTACGTAGGTTAGTAGCATGAACTGCATACAGTACTAAGGAGAACCTCAGGACTTAAAAAGGGACGGTTTCACTTAATTGTACTTTTGGGTGGTGTATGGTGTGAGGTAAGATCGGTTGTATGAAATATGTTCTTCAATGAATCCTTTCCCCAGGACCCATTTGTACCAGAACACCCCATTTCATATTGCCTTTATTTTCTTAATAGTTATTTTTAATTTTTTTCACTGATTTGTTTCTCGTACTTTGGAATGTGAGTTCTGCTGAATCAACGGTTTGCAAGAGTTGTGACTTAAAGCACTTGTTTATAACGTTTTCAGATTTACCCACGATGTAAATATTACAGGAATGACTGTCTTAGATGGTGTAATAAAGTAAATAGCCCAAAACTCTCCGTCTGCAGATTTGAGGAGCACCGCTTCAGTTCTCTTCTTCCCTACCATAGGATTGGGGCAAAGGCTTTGTCAGGACTGTGTACTAGAAAGGGGTTGCCTTATAAGGTAGCCCATCAATAAAAGTGGAGATAGCAGGCATGGTGGCACATTAAATCCCAGTGATTTGGAAGACTGAGGCAGGAGGATCTCAAGTTGAAGGCCAATCTCGGCAACTTAGTGGGCAACTCTCAGAAAATGAAAAGGCCCGGCTGCTTGGGAGGCTGAGACAGAAGGATGATGAGTTCAAAGCCAGCTTCAGCAATGGCAAGGCGCTAAGCAACTCAGACCCTGTCTCTAAATAAAATACAAAATAGGGCTGGGAATATGGCTCAGTGGTTGAGTGCCCGGTGGCAATCAGAAATAAAAATAAAAAAGCTCAGTGATAAAGTGTTCCTGGGTTCAATTCCCAGTACTGGAGGTGGGGCAGATGGGAACAATATCAAATTTATTTCAAATAGTTGTGAATTGCAGCTGCTGTGAAAATGTAGTATTAAATGCAGTAGAAATATTTAGTCAAAGCTCATCCATTTTGATACCAAATAATAACGATATTAATAATTAGTAGAAATATAAGTCAAAACTAACCTGGTCTTTAAAACCTGAGGTATCATTAGCCTAGACCTCTATACATCAGCTTCATAGCCACTTCTTGCTTAAACCTATCCAAATCTCAAAAGGATTATCTGAGCCTAAATATTTATTGAATGAATGAAAAGATAAGCTGGTATACAAACTTTTTCATATAAGGTCTACAGTTCAGTGACCTGTCAATGTTTGACAGTTGTTAGGCATGGGTAGGGATCTTGGGTTCCTTTTATTATGCTATGGTATTTTCTTTTTTTTAAAATTTTTTCTAAGTTGTTGATACCTTTATTTTATTTATACTTTTATTTATTTATTTGTATGAGGTGCTGAGAATTGAACCCAGTGCTTCATGCATGCTAGGCAAGCACTCTACCACTGAGCCACAACCCCAGCCCCATGCTATAGTATTTTCTGAGGGACTATTCCTATCTGAAGTTTGAGGAAGTGAGAGACAATAATTATATTTTTAGGTACTTAGAGAGTTTTCCCCTTTTGAAATCAAATTTGGATCTATAGATTTTTCTAATTTACTTGTAAGTAGACAAGAATATTAATCTCTCTTATACAAGTGGTTATTTTTGTTGTGTGGTAACAGAGCTTCTGGAATTGCCTATGGAAACTGAATGTGTACGAACCCCCGGAACCCTATGGTGTTGGGCATTGAACGTAGAGGGTGCTCTACCACTAAACTACATGTCCAGCCACCCCCCACCCTTTAAAATATTTTTTAGTTGCCAATGGATATTTTATTTTATTTATTTATATACAGTGCTGAGGATTGAACCCAGGGCCTTACACATGCCAGGCAAGTGCTCTACCACTGAGCCACAACTCCAGCCCATGTCCAGCCCTTTTAATTTTTTTTTTGTTTAATGAGATAGGGTATAGCTGGGAACAGAGGCATTTACATGTAATCCCAGTTGTTCTGGAGGCTGAGGCAGGAGGATCTCAAATTTTTGATGCCAGCCTCAGCAATTGAGCAAGACCTTAAAGCAACTTTGTAAGACATTGTCTTAAAATTTTTTAAAAAAAGGTCTGGGGATGTAGCACAAAATAAAGCACCCTAAGTTCAATCCTTGGAACCAAAAAATAAACAACAATAACAAAAAAGCTTTAAAAGGGATGGGGATGTAGCTCAGTAGTGAAGGTCCTTGGCTTTAACCCCAGTACACAGGATTTCACTAAATGGCCTAGGCTAGCCTAGAACCTGTGATCATACTGCTTCTGCTTCCCAAGTTGCTGGGATTACATACATGCTCCACTGTACCTAGTTTGTTAATTCTTTTAAATCATATTACTTTCAACCAATACTTTGGGTCTTAAATGTAGCTGTTTTTGTTTTGTTGCTGGGGAGGGCCTTTAGTAAAGAAAAAACTACTCAGAAGTTCTTTTGAGTATGGAGGAATAGAGTGGGAAGAGGCAGATAATAGTCATTTCTCTCTCTTCCAGTGCTCAGTGTGCATTGATCTGGGCCCCAGTTTAAGAGGGTAGCTTTAGGCTTGGGTATCTTTTGAGATTTGTTTGGGTGGTGAAGAAATGGCTGTGAGGCTGGTGGACACATTTGACCCACAGTGTTGAGGCCTAGGCTAATGTTTCCACAGTTTTAGTTCCTCTGTGATCCCTGAGACTTTCAAGTCAAAGTTAAGTTTGACTTGTATTTCTACTTTCTATATACATTGATGAGTTTGACTAAACATTTCTGTTGCATTTAATATTGCATTTTCAGAGCAGCTGCAATTTATAGACATCTCAACAATTATATGAAATAAATGTGACATTGCTAGTTCCATTTTCCCCCCAAACTGGGGATTGAGCCCAGGAGCACTCTACCACTAAGCTATACCACCAGCCATTTTTATTTTTTATTTTGAGGTAGGGTCTAACTAAATCACCCAGGTTGGCCTTGAATTTGCAATCAGTTCTTCTGCCTCTGCCTCCTGAGTCACTGTAATTATAGGCATGTGCCACCATGCATGCTAGCCCCATTTTTTTGAAGTGTTTACTATTTATTTAGTGAACAGTTGAGCATCTGCTTTATGTCAGGTACTTAAAACAATTCCCCAAAGTCAGGCATGGTGTTGAATCCCTGTAAACCCAATGACTCAGGAGGCAGAGGCCTCAGGAGGATCACAAGTTTGAGGTCAGCCTGGGCATTTAATAAGACCCTGTCTCAAAAATAAAATTGAAAAAAAGGGCTGGAGGTGTGGCTTAGTGGTAGAGGGCCTCTGAGTTTAATCCCTAGTATCTCCCTGCCCGAAACCCCACAACTCAAACAGGCATTGTGGTGTATGCCTGTAATCCCACCTGTTCATGTTGATGAGGCAGGAGGATTGCAAGTTCCAGGCCAGCCTGGGGAATTTAGTGAGACCTAGTCTCAAAATTAGAAAAGAAAAATGATCTGGGGATATAGCACTTTTATAGAGTAGCTTTCATAGCATGCCTGAAGTACTGGGTTCAATCCCAGATTTCCTTAACTTTTGCTTTTTTTTTGGTTCATGGGATTCAACTCAGGGCTTTACTGTGTTAAGCAGGAGCTTAACATTGAGTTATACCACCAGTCTTTGACTTTTGTATTATGATAAAATTTATTCATTTTGTTAAAATACTCCCCCATCCCCTGTGATGCTAGGGGATCCAACCCCAATGCTTCCTTCATGTGAGGCAAGTGCTCTATGACTGAGATACAGCCACAGCCCCTAAAATTTATTTTTTCATTTAGATACGTAATATCTGAAATGGATTTTTTTTTTTTAAAGGTCCAGTGATTCTTAAAGTGTGATTTCCAGGCCAGTAGTACCACCTGAGAACTTGTTACTTGTTTGAAATGCAGTTTCTTGGGCCTGATCTATTGAATTAAAAATTCTGGGCATGGGGCTGGGGATGTGGCTCAAGCGGTAGCGCGCTCGCCTGGCATGCGTGCGGCCCGAGTTCG